TCTAGAATGTGGAACAGATGAACTGAACTGAAATGGAGACAGTGGATCTGGCCATCCTTGGCTGGCAAGTTACAAATCCCTGTTGTGAGCTGGGCATGGTGGCACACCTGTAATCCCAGCATTTAGGAGGCTGAGGCAGTAGGATTGAGAGTTCAAAGCCAGCCTGGGCTATATAGAGAGACCCTGCCACAAACAAACAAAAAATAAAAACAGAAGAAATCCCTGATATGTGGTGTCAAATTAGCTGGTTAAATAATCTAATCTATTTTATTTACTTATTTATTTACTTCATTTTTTTTTTTTGAGACAAGGTCTTGCTCTATAGCCCAGGCTGGCCTCAAACTCACGATCCTCCTGCCTCAGCCTCTGAAGTGCTGGGATTACAGGCATGCACCACTGTGCTCCTCGAATGATCCATTTTATTTATTTATTTTTTTTATGGTATTGGGGTTTGAACTCTGGGCCTACCTCTTGAGCCACTCCATCAACCCTATTTTTGTGAAGGGTTTTTCAAGATAGGGTCTCACAAACTATTTGCCTGGGCTGACTTTGAACCGTGATCCTCCTGATCTTTGCCTCCTGAGTAGCTAGGTTTACAGGTGTTAGCCACTGGCACCTGGCTCAAACAATCCATTTTATAATGAGATGTGGTTCATACATCCATCAAAGATGGAGATTTCAGGTCATGCTAGAAAAAAGTCTGAATGTTGGATGCCTTGGCCTCTTGAGCTGGTCAGTGAGGCCCTGCATCTGAGTTTTCCTTCACAGGCAGAATCAGAACTATGTGCCTCTCTGTGTAGAGTTGCCAGCCGTCCAAACTGCCAAGGTTCAAATAACCATGCATCTTTAGATGATGAAAGGCAAACCCTTTCTATTAAGATAAAGTCAGTGAGAATGAAAGCACAGAGGTAGGAAATCCAGGAGAGGCTGGAGTGCAGAGTTTGGCAATTCCAGGAAAAAAAAAAAAAAAAAGATGGAATTCTAATCCTCCAAGCCGCACCTGAATGCTTCTGTTTTGCCCAAGTGAAATAAGATTTATTTGGCTTGGAATTCAGTGCCTGGGGACCTGGGCTGTGAATCCTGTGGGAGACAGTGGGATGTATTGGGCACAAACTCACGCACCTTCTTGGAGTCCCTAGACCACCTCCTTCTCTCTGTCTTGGTGACACCCTGCCTATGTCACTCCTACATCATTGGTAGAAATGCCACATGGCAGGCCATGGGAGCTGACTTCCCCAACATCCACCCAAGGAGCAAATGGTGCAACTGAGGATGCTGGGGGATTAGCTGTCTGTAGGTTGCACCTTGGCCAATGGAAAACAGGAGAAGAGAGGGGGACTGATGGATAAAGCCCCCCGAAATCCCCATGGTGCAGCTTCTCCTTGTAAACACCATATGCTCATCAAGCAAGCCCGTCACTGTCATGTGACCTGTTCCTTCTTCCCTGGTGCCTATGCAACAGTTGTCAACACAGTGATGCATCTCCTGACATTGCCTCCTGTCTCTTCTCCTCTTTACTGTCCTGGGCTTCTACCTCCTAAACACTCATCATTTTAATCCTTGCCTCAGACTCTGCTTTCGAGAGGACTTGGGCTAACACACATAGACATAATCTAAGTCCCCATCTCAACACTGACTCCCAAACATGGGGTAGCAAAAAGGTCTTGAGAATGTAGCTGGGTTTTCCTACTCAGTGCAGAGAATCAGGCCCAGACAACCGGTTTTCTCTCAGGGGCCCAGTGCCAAGGTGACCAGCTCCGGCCATCTCTGAACTTACACCCAGGAAGCCGAGGCTTACTCTCTAGGCTATCTTCCAGGTCCTCTGAATTTTCTGCTGAGCACCTAAGACACCTCTTGGGAAAAGTCAGACCCAGGTTTTAACCTTCCTTCTGGATCTCTGTCTTAGACAGCTCAAGAGCAAGAGGGAAGAGGCTGAAAGTTCAAGTCCCACCCACAGATGACCAATGGAAGGCTTTGGTCAGCCCAGGCTGCAGAGAGCGGTGAAGGACCCAGTAATAGCAGTGTCTGAAGCAATGGATGGGGAGAGAAAGAGTGGTCCTCTTCCCTTTCTTTTCTGCTTTTTGTTTGTTTGTTTGTTTATGTTATATAGACCATGCTGACCTAATACTCACTAAGTATGTCACAAGCATGTTCAACACTGAAGCAAAGGGAGCTTCCAAATTCAGTCAGAGCACTCAGCAGAGCTACAAATGGTCACAATCCCATCTCAGACCAAATGTCTTTTTTCCTTGCATCCAGGACACCCAGCTTGCATCTAGGGAGAGAAATTCACTCAGATGCCCTGCTGAAGACTGAAGACTCTGCCCAAAGTCCCCAAGCTCTGTAGGTTGTTAGAGGGCCTCCAAATACAGTGTCAAGTAACAAATTCCCCTGAGGGGTCCTTTGGTGATATGGCCTCAGTGTGACAACAGGCCATGCTGGAGAGGGAGGAGTGGAGCAAGCTTCAGGTTGTGAGTGCTTGTGTGGTGGCCTCAATCCTGTCCTAAGCACCTCCCTGGAGCTGAGGCCTAAAAGTTAGTCCCAGTCAGGGCCAGGGTTACTGGAAAATGAGCCAGTCAAGAGTTGAGTAAGGCCTGGCATTGGTAGCCCACACCTGTAATCCTAGCTATTCAGGAAGTAGAGATCAGAAAGTTTGCAGTTCGAAGCCAGCCTGGGCAAATAGTTCAAGAGACCCTATCTTGAAAAATCCCTTCACAAAAAAGGGCTGGTGGAGTGGCTCAAGGTGTAGGCCCTGAGTTCAAATCCCCAGTACCACAAAAAGAAAAAAAGAGTTAAATGCTCTCTTTAGGCATGTCATTGCCATAAACAGGCCACTATGGAAGCCATGAAGCTGAGGGGGAGGGACTGGCCAAAGTGTGAACTGCTGCTAAGAGACATAAACCACAATTTCTGGGGGTTAGCCCAAGACTCAAGGATGAGGACTCAATAACAGTGATGAACTCACAGAGAGCCCAGGAATCAGAGACTTTTTACACCTGGCAAACACATCAGGGAATGTCGAGTTTCTTGGGCAACTCTTAGTCCCAAACCCATGTCAAAGGGAAGTGGGATACAATTCCAGAAGGATCATTGTCTCAGGGGTGTCCATAAAGGACACTCCCTGTGGGGAGAACCAAGAGCAATCAATTTTGTTGATCAGGAAACTCATTCCACTCTCCAGAAAGATGAACTATATGCTGAAGATGAGTGTCCATTATATCTTTTCCTTTATTCCAAATGAAGAGATTTTAAAAACTGTAATCTTAATATGATGAACAAAAAAGAGAAAGGAAAAAAGTTGGAATCTTGCTTCATCCACTATTGCATATTGATTATGTAGGGGTGGCTAAATTGATACTCGCTGTAGATTGTGACTTCTTAAGAAGTCACATGCAGACCTGATTGAGAATTGCATGCCATCAAGGGACTCAGGACTGAGTAAAACAACTAGGTATGATTCTGCTTTGGCTCTCATTGGGAAGTGTGTGTTTTTGGTTGGGTCTGGGATCACTGCATCGTTAGACAGGCTTATTTTTCAAATTGTATGCTTGTCAGTAAAAGTACAGGTGGATGCAATGAAGAGTAAACTGTAGTGGACATATTGCTTATCTGACCATTATCTTTTCCTTGGGAACCCATTTCTCCCCCTTTCTCACATTACTGGTGAAGTTGTCAATGATGGTGGCCCAGTCTTCCATCCTAGAAGAGTGAGCACATGTCTACCACTGGCCAAAGTCTTCTAGACAGTAGAGCTCATGAGGTCAACATAGAGAAGGAAGCAAAGTCAACAGATAAAGACATCATCATTTGAACCTCCAGATCCAGCCATGCCTGAAGGCAGGTAAATTCTTTGATTGCTAGTTATATAAGCCAATTAATTTTCTATTGACTTAAACATGTTTGTATTTGACTTTTGACCCTTGAAACTGAAACAGTCCAGACTAATACATGCACATACAAAGACACGAACATCATATTGTTCGAACTCAGACATAAGTTTGCCATGACCTTACCAGGGATTAGAGGACTCTTTGAAAGGCAAGATAAATATTTTAAGCTGTGTAAGCCACATGTAGCCTCAGTCTCATTTTCTTTTTATTTTGACAATCTTTTAAAAAATGTGAAAAACAAGGGATAGGGGCATGACTCAAGTATAAGGCCCAGTATCGCCAAAAAAAAGTAAAAGTAAAAAACATTCTTAGTTTGTAGGAGATACAAAAGTAGGCCATAGGCTAGATTTGACCCCTGATGTTTGCTGACCCATGATGTAAATTAACACAACCCTTAGAGCTTGAGTCATACAGATTTCCAGGCCCCAACTCACACCTAAGGCATGAAGCAGAAAACTCCAAGTGCCATTTGGCTCAAGGGTCTTGACATGACTCACTCATGAGTCACGAGGATAGAGTTAGGAATGGGAAAAGGGTTTTGTCTTGTGCCATTACTATAACAGGAAAGACACTGAAATTAAAGGTAATTGCTATGTGTTGGTGATAGAGATAGTTTTTCAAAAGGATGCAGCTGCCCCCAGACTTTGTCCAAACATCCCAGTTCATCCTTGATGTTGCTTCTGCCCCTCTGTACCCTTCAGGAAGCCTCCCTCACCCCCCCATTGATGAAGCCTGAACAAGGTACTCTTCTCACTAGCACAGACACTGCGGACCCCATCACCCCTGCACTCATAATTTGTCTTTTCCCTCACCTCCCAGTACCTGGTAGGAGCCCAAGCCCAGAACCTACCATGATGCTCAGCAACCGCTCTAAGAGGACTCTACATCTCCAGCTGAGTGTCTGTCTGAATGTGCAGGAGCAACACCGTCCTACCTGTGCCCAGGACGCTCGGTCTGTGTGGTGTGGCGAGGGCGTACACATGCCCCGGCACCGGTTCCTCTCCTGGTTGGAAATTATTTGTGAATACAAACTGTACCTTCCCTGGTAATGTGATTGCCAACTCTATTTTTCATTCCCTTCCCCTCCAAAAACGAGTCAAAGACAGAGGGACAGGTGGGAACAAGTTTTCTTAGAAACTGTTATGAAGAAAGAACCCTCCAACCCCACCCACACATCCTTGCTGTCTGAGTGATACCAGATCAGGGGTCTCCAGTCTCAGCAACGTGGGGGGGCAGGGTGTCCCCCACGCAGCAACTGGGGCCTCAGACGAGGTCGATCCGTGATGTGGGGTGGAGTGGAAATTACCCCCTGGGAAAAAATGTGCAAGGCCCCGTGGGCCCAGGAAAGGCTGGCCGCAGCAAGGTGAGTCAAGGTGTGCTGAGCTGAATCTTTGGCCCATCTCACAGAAGCAGGCAGGAAGCACCACCAGTGACCAGCTTTATATGGCACCCACTGTATACAATGGACAGACAAAGACAGACAGAGCACACACCACTTCTAAGCTGGACACTGCTTGTCATCTACAAGCACCTTGGGTAAGCACATACAAGACACTCTTGCATAGGAAAGATGTACTTTTTAAAGGAATAAAGAAGTATTTTGGCAAAACATCTACTTCCCTCCCAGGTCCTGGGGAAAGAGGGACCTCTAATTCTGAAGCTTCTACATATTGAAAATTATCCTTCTCAATGGCAGTATATACAGCAGCAAACCTCCCATGTCTGTTGTCACAGCCCTCTACATGTATCTTGAATCTACTTTACAGGTGGGCAAACTTAGACTAAGAGATAGACGGTAGCCTGGAGCAAGGGGACATGGGGACTGGCTCAACGGAAGGGAAAAGAGGTGTCTTGACTCAGCCAAAGGCAAGGCCTCTGTGTATCTGGGCTGGGAAGGAAAAGACTGATGTGGCCAAAACTCCCTCTCTTCCTGCCTGGAGAAGCAGCGGTTCCAGGGCAGGGCTGTCAAGAAGGAAAGGCAGGTTCCCACTCCCATTGGCCAGGGGCCTCTCTGGATGGCAAAGCCGAGGGCAGGCTTGAACTCCTGGGCCCTCTTACGTGACGCTGAGTTTGGAGATTATGAGTTGTGAGTTCACTGCTTCTATAACCTCAAGACCTGCATTTGACCCCAAAATATTTTTTATAAGGTCAGGGTGGGGGAGTGGCTTCAGAGGGGACAACACACAGGACAATCTTTCCACAACCTCCTCTGCCTAGACTGGGACTATCCAGGGTCTCCTTCACCCTGTCTCCTAGGGATATTTAAAGGCAGCTTTTATGAGACTCTATACCGTCTTGTTTTGTTTCTCGTTTTTTTTCCTTTGTTTTAATTTATATAGATATATAGATAGATATATTCTTAAAAAAGCAATAGTCCTTTGGTCCCTAAACTCTAAGGAACAGTATGATCTTGAATGAAGTGACTCTGGGCTTCCTTCGTCGAGAAGCCCCTTGGCACCACCCCCACCCCCCCGAGGCCCTTGCTGGTTCCCATAGACAGTCAGTGGATCCTCAGCCAGCCCCGCTGCCCTGCCAGTCTGACCTCTCTGCTGCAGGTGCAGCACAACCCAGTTGATAAGAACAATCCTCAAGTGGCCTGAGCCCCAGGCCAGCCTTGGGTCTGATCCACCTCCGTCTGCAGCTGCTCCTTCGGGAAGGGCCACTCCAGCATTTCTGTGCTTTTTCATTCCTTTCTTCTCACTCTTCAGTTTCTGTTGTTCGGTATTAATTGATAAGGAGACAGGGGAGGGAGAGGGGGAGGCAAAAGTCACCCGAGAGGGCAAGATGCTCCTCTTGCCCCTCAGTAACGTATCTGGTAAGCGGCTGGGCATCTCTCTTCCTGGCAGCAGCCTGGCCCACTGAAGCCAGACCTTGGATCCTGGGCAGGTGACCCCGGCCAACACCCCTGCAGAGACCTCTTGGGCAGCTCAAGTGAGGTGAAGCAGGCAGCCTCCTGTGGATGTGCAGCTCTGCCAGAAACCCAGAGCTTTGTCCATCACCCTCTGCCGCCTACCGGGCCTGCAGCTCCTAATTCTGAGCACGCTTGCTCCTCTCCCTTCATCTCCACCTCTCTGCCATCATCTCAGCCCTTACGTCTTGTCTCTTCTGTGTCTGGACACCTCAAAGGTTCCCTGTCACCTTCACTGAAAGTCAAAAGTCATGGCCTGTGAGACCAAACCCCACTCTCCAGGCCTCTCCCTATATGCATCCTCTACTCCTGTGGCCTCCTCTGACTATCTCTGCAATAGAAATGGTTGAATTTGCTGTAATTTTCTCTCCTAGACTATGCAGGCAGGAATGCTGTCTATCTATCCCAGTCCTTGGATTGAAGAAAAAGCACAAAGTCTCCATTCAAAGATTCCTCCTGGCTCCGGGCTCTTCTCTTTTTCTGAACTCAGGGCCTCATACTTGCTAAGCAGGCATTCTACCACCTCAGCCCTTTTTGCTTTAGTTATTTTCCAGACAGGATCTCATGGTTTTTTGCATCCTACCTATGACCTCTAGAGTATCAGAGCAGTACAGATGTGCTCCAGTGCACCCAGTTTGTTTGTTGAGATGGGGTCTGGCTAACATTTGGCCCAGGCTGGCTGCTATCTTCCCAATCTTCACCTCCTGAGTAGCTGGGATTACAGGTGTGAGCTACTGCACTAGTCTTCGCTTCTCTTTATCTCAGACTTTCTCAGAGGTGGGTGTCTCCGACATCCCCAAAGGAACAACAAACTGGGAGGACCTTGTCACTCAGGCCCCATTTGCCTGGAATCTGTTAAGAACTTACCTTTCTGTGGCTGGTATGTGAGAACAGGTCAGTAAGGCCGGTTGGCATCCTTAGGCCTCTTTAGCTGGACCTTGAGTCTCTTCATGCCAATTTGAAAGCCATTCATGGCCTGAATAGCCGTCTGGGCACTGGTTGGATTGTCAAAACTAACAAACCCTGGAGGATGTGGGCAAGGGTGTTAGCTGGGTGCCTGCCTGGCCTGTGGCCTCCCACTCTTTGACCAGCTTATTTTCCAATACCCTCAGGCCAGTTTCATCAGACACACACCCTTGCATTGGTCATGTGTGCATGCATGCATGTACATACATGGACACGCACTTTTAAAGGCAACTGGTGTGATTCTTGGAAGGATGGGAAGCCACTCTGATGGGGAAGGGCAGTGTGTTGGTTAGTGTTTCCCTATATTTCCCTGGCTTGGGTGGACTGTCTCCCTCCACTGCTCCCATTCTGGCCTCAGAACTGCACTTTGGAGTTGGAGAGCCACTCCAGGCCCAAACTCAGACCCCTGCACTGGCCAACTCCAAAGCCCTGACCTACCTCATCTAACACCTAGGTCACAGGGCTTCCCAGTGACCATGAAATAAGGCTGTCCTTGGTCTAGGCTTGGCCCCATCACTAGTCTGTGGCCCAACTTTGTCTCATGCATTTGGTCTCTGGAAATCACTGCCTTATGTAGGCTCCATATGGAATCCCGAGGCTAGGAGTGGGAAAGGACCAGGGATGGGGCTCAGCTCACCAAAACACTTGCTCTGGTTGGTGGCTCGATCCACAAAGACTTTGGCAGAGACAACGGCTCCAAAGGGCAGGAATGTCTGTATGAGTTCCGTATCACCAAACTCCTGAGGCAGGTGATAGATGAAGAGATTACAGCCTTCGGGGCCTGCAGGAACAGTAGCAGGCTGGTTCAGGGGAGGGACCCCCAAGTGGAATCCTGCCAGGCCCTGATCCCCAGCCCCCAGTCCCTCACCTTCTCTTTGCTGCTGGGGCAGGGCTGAAGGCTGCTGGGGAAATGCTGTGCTCACAGGGGCATAGGCCGATGGATAGGCTGCAGGAAACAGAGGTGGGAGTGGCAGTGACCCCCCAGGAGCCACTCCCCAAGCAGGGTCTCATCTGTCTGGCCAACTTTGACCCATCCAACCCAGTCCACCATAAACCGTGGTCCCAAGAGAGGTCCTTGAGGGGTTGGGGGGGAGCAGGATGGGCTCCTGCAAACAGAGCCTAATCACCCCCACCACCAACTCTCCCTATGCCTTCCTGAGCCCTTCAACCCCCCAGGCCGCGCGGCGCCGAGTGAAACCTGCATAGTGGTGCATCGCAGCGAAGGCCTGTTGCAGGGGGTCAGCCACGCCGCCGGGGCTCTGGGCTGGGAAGAGAGGGGCGCCCACGGTGAAGGCGGATGGAGAGGGTGAGGAGAGAGACCCGGGGGGTGTGGGAGGTGGAGGGCGGCTGTGAGAGGCAGCAGGGAGGATGGGGGTGGTGGAGGCTCCCTTCCCTCAAACAGGGCATGGTCCCCACTCAGTTTTAGGGACACCTGGGTGGGGCCGGGTGGGGCGGCCCACCTGGGTAAGGAGAGAGCCCGTTATTGTAGAGCGTGTCGGAGCCCTGCTGCCCGTTGGTCTGGGGGTTGAGGGATCCGAATCCATTGACCCCGAGGGGCGTGGGAAGGCCGGGGAGCGCGCCAGGGCCGCTGCCGCCCGGCGAGGAGCTGCCTGCTGGCGGTGGGAGGAGCGGTGAGGCGGCGGCCCGCCGGGCGCCTTCCACGCCCCGCTGCGCCTGGGTCCCCCGGTCCCCTGGGCCCTGTCACATACCTGTCGCCGGCAACAGGGGCGCGGCCACCAGGCTGAAGGCCGCCACGTGCTGCATCTGGGCGGCCACCGCGGCCACCGGGCCCAGGCCGGGACCCTGAGCGGCCGCCAGCAGGGCCGCCTGGTGCTGCAGGATCTTTGGGAAGGAAGAGGCGAGCGCGGCGGCTCAGCTGCAGGCCCGGCCGCCTGCCCGGCCGCCTGCCCGGCCGCCTGCCCGTCTGGCACCTACCGCCGTGGTGTAGGCGCCGCAGGCCCCGAGGGGCAGCGGCGCGGGGTGGAAGGCGCCCAGCTGCCCCGCCATCTGCTGCATCCGCCGCAGCGCGCGCTCCCGGTCCGTGTCCGCCACCTTGACCACCAGGCTGGACGAGGCGCCCTGGGCAGGGCAGGGCCGGGGACGCCGTGGTGACCGCTCCTGACCCCGGCCCCAGCTCTGGGCGAGCGCCTTCTCCACTAGGCCCTTGCCCCGGGGACACCGACGACAAGCCCGTCCCCGCCCCGCCGGCCTCACCCTCAGCCCAGGCACCCATCCTCACCGCCATGGTCCGGCTGCCGTGCAGACCCTGGATGGCCGCCTGGGCCTCCCCCTGACTCCCGAACTTCACAAAGGCACAGCCTGGGGCAGGAGAGAGGGATGGATGGTTCAAAGGTTCAAGTGGCCCAGAGAGACTGAAGGTCACCAGGAAGCCTCGGGGGGAGCGGGAGGGAGCGGATCGGGTCACCTTTACTGGTGCCATCAGGGCTCCGGAGGACAGTGCACTCCTCAATATGGCCGAAGGGCTGGAACAGGCGTCTGACATCCTCCTCACCCTGCTGCTTGCCCAGCATCCCCACAAACAACTTCCGGTCCTCTGGGAACAAAGCTGGGAATGACCTGGGGACCCCAAGTATCCCTAGGCTCCCCAGAGTTGCCTGGAGAGCTTCGGAAGGTAGCTCACCAGACTAGTTCTGGGAAGAGTGGACTCTGTAGCTACTCCCTGCAGGGAGCAGGAGGACCATGGGGCTCCTAGGCTATGTCTCTCTGAGGGGCTGGTGACCTACAGGCAGATCTACAGAAAAGGAACTCAGCTCACTTCTCCATCGGAAAACCTGCATCCTGAGAAACCAGAAAGGCTCCTTGTTACTCTTGTGGGGAGGAATACATTTTGATCACTTTGGGTGAATGAAGCCCTCTGTGGACCATCTTATGTTTGACTTTTCTGTTGTCAGAGTTTGGGCAATGCTGGTTCAATCCATTCTGGTGGTAGCAAGGGATGGGGTGGGTGCTCAGAGAAACCTTTGTATTTAGACTGAGTCCCTAGAACAGAAGGGCACCCTTGCAGGTCAGCTTGGTGGTAGTGGCTAGAACCAATGCCCCTTCCTGCTCATATCAAGGAGTGTTCCGAGTTCAAAATCAGCACAGAAAACAGATGTCTTATCTTACTGCCTCACTCTCAGAGAGATCACTAGAATGGTGAGTCCTTACCCCAGCACCGAATCCAACCCAGTGCCCCTCCCAAAGGCCTACCGAAACTTGCACTTCTGACCATTTCCCCCATACACATACCTTCCTTAATTTCCCCTTCTACCACCACCTCCTCTCACCTAGCTTCCAGGGCCATCTGGGAGCCCTGTTACTTCCTCTCTGATTTCCCCTGGCCTCCTGCCCTGATCCTTCCCCATGTGTTTCTGCTGTGGGAAGACAAATTCTGCCTCTACACCTGGATGACCACCTGAAAACAAGTCTGATCCCCCCATATGTCCTATGGGAGTAGCAAGAGGTGCAGGATAGGACTGTAAGCTGGGCTTGTGTCCCCTGATGAAAGCTGGAGGGCTGGGGCTGGGAACCAGGGATGAGCCACACATGAAGCGAGTTTGGTCTTCTCTGCACTGTCAGGAGCCTGGGACAGAGGGGTGCAGCCCATGTTAAAGTCTGACTCCTCTTTGTACCAAGGTGAGTCTCTGAATTTGGGATGGGTCTTGTCTATGTGTGGGGCAATACACCCTGGAAGAAAAGGGTGTGTGGGGATCTAGCTCGGCTTCACCTTTAACATTCTAGAACTCAGGAAATTCCATCCTGAACTCCTTTACTCCTTGACAAGCTTAACTAAGCAGATGGAGGTCCTTGGCTCGTGCATGAATGAGAGACAGGCTGATGGCATCACAGACTAAAGTCTGGGTGACAATGAAATGGAAGAACAGAACAACCAAATTTAGTAATAGAGGAATCCCCAAGAAGGCTATTGTCTATATTTCACCTGAGTGAGCTGGGGGTGTATCTCAGTGGTACAGAGCTTGCCTAGCATGCCCAAAGCCCTAGGTTCAATCCTCAGCAACACACAACACACACACACACACACACACACACACCAACAACAAAAAAAACACCTTTTGTCTGACACATTTCACCTGGGTGATCTGGGGTTCAGCCTAGGCTGCCCTGGGGATCCTGGGGTGTCTGTCTGTCGATGCTGTGTCTGTGTGGAGGGTAGGGACAGCAGTTCATATATGGCAGGTGGAATGAGTTTCAGCAGAATCCTGCCGTCTGTCCAGAGAGGTACCGCCCAGCGATCCTGAGGGGGAAGGGGATGGATAGTGTACTTGTGGCTGGAATATTCTAGAAGAGGTGCGACCTTTTGTGGTAAGAGTTACAGTCCCGTGGGGTATTCTTTGCTGCTGGGGGTGTTAGGCACAGTATAGCACCCTAGAATGGAGTGCTGGTTTCTCAACCTTTAAAAAAAAAGTGGTGGGACTGCGTTCGCACTCTCCCCTGGGGGGGAAAATGGTGGAATGCATTGTTCTGATAAAAATATTAGGATGAAATTCAGAATGTAGAAGGAAAGTAGAAATGCTCTGACCAAAGCCAGAAAAGGAGCCTGAAATCCCTCCTGTTGATCCTCCCCTAGTACCTCCTGCAGTGGGCTACAAGGAAAGTCCCTGGAAACCATTGACCTAGAAGACAGAATAGAGTTCCACATAGTGTATGAAGGGAGATCTGTTCAGAAACCTGAGAAGACAGGGAGGCAATGCCTGAATAAGAGCAACCCATAGGTAGTAAGTAGGCCCCTAGAAAGATGGAAAGAAAGATGGCAATATCGAACACAGGCCTCAATTCTCCTGGAAGATGACATGAGTGTAGAGCTGACATGCAGCTGAAAGGCCACACAGTTGAAGGGCACAACTACATTTTTCCATTGACGACCAATGTACACCCCTTTTCTATCAAATACTTTTGAACACAAAACAAGCTGTCTTGTCATCCAGCCATATAGGTCAGGGGTTCTAGTATGGTGAACGATAGGGTTGAGAGCACAGGAATCTAAGCAGACTTGGTCCAGCCCATCTTCTTCAGAAATGACTGAAGGATGCTCTCTCTTCAAGAAAGGAGGCTTTGTCTGAGGTGTATACATTTCTGGTTGTATAGAAACGAAATGTATACAAGGTGAGTGTACCCACTCACCTTGATGTGGGTGGGTGTCACGCTGGCAGTGACAGTGTAGGAAAATGTCTCAGCCTTTGGTACCAACCACTGAACCAATCCTGAAAATACTAGTCTACCTTTGAGTCCAGATATCACCCCAGAAAGTCCTGCTAGTGGTAGCATTGTAGTAAAGCACCCTTCCCCTAGTACTATTAATGATGAAGCATTAGAAGACAAGGAAGACTGAGAGCGAGTGAAGGAAATTGCCAGGATAAGCAGAGCTCCTGGCCAGACCTGATAAGCAGCAAGAAGGACTTTAGTTTTAGGTTTTTTTTTTTTTAAAGCTGTTAGAATAAACAAATTCAACAAAGTTGCAAGATACAAAATCAACATTCAAAAAACAGTTGCATTTAGCCGGGGGCTGGTGGCTCATACCTGCAATCCTAGCTAATTCAGAGGCTGAAATCAGGAGGATTGAGGTTTGAGGCCAGCCCAGGGCAAACAGTTTGCAAGACCCTATCTCTAAAATAACCAGAGCAAAATGGACTGGAGTTGTGGCTCAAGTGGTAGAGAGGCTGCTTTGCAAGTCTGAAGTCCTGAGCTCAAACCCTAGTCCCACCCCCCAAAAAAATCAGCTGTATTTGACACAATAATAAAGAATAATCTGAAATGAAAATTAAGTTAACAATTCTATTTACAGCAGCATCAAGAAGAATAAAACACTCAGAGACAAACATCCAAGGAAGTGAAAAATCTGTACACTGACAACTACAAAATGTTGCTGAAAGAAAAAAGAGAAGTCACAAATGAATGAAAAAATATCCCATGTTCATGGACTGCAAGACTTGGTACTGGTACAAAGACAGACTCATACATCAATGTAGGAAAAGAGAGAACCCGGAAATGCTTACATCCAGGTCACATGACTTTTGACAAGAGTACCAACACCATTCAATGCGGGAAGGACAGTCTTTTCAACAAATGGATAGTCACATGTAGAAGAATGAAGTTCCTATCCCTACACCAAAAAACAATTAAGTGAAAACGGATCAGAGTCCTAAATGTAAGAACTAACACTATGGAACTTTCAGAATAAATCATAGGGGAAAACCCCCATGATACTGGAGTTAGAAATCATTTCCTGAATACAGCATAAAAAGCATAGGCAGGGCTGGTGGAGCAGTGGCTCCAGTGGTAGAGCGCCTGCCTAGCAAGTGTGAGGTCCTGAGTTCAAACCCCAGTACCACCAAAAATTTTTTTTAAAAAGCATAGGCAGAGAAGCAGATAAATTGGACTCTGTCAATATTAAAAACTTCTGTGCATAAAAGGACACCATTAGCAAGGTGAAAAGCAACCCATGAAATGGGAGAAAATTATTTGCCAATAATACGTCTGATAAAGGCTAATATCCAGAATATAAAGAGTCCCTACAACTCAACCATAGCAACAAGAACAACAACAACAAAAGATAAGAAACATAGGCAAAGAACCAGGCATGGTGGTGTACGCCTGTAATCCCAGCATTTGGTAGGGGGAGGCAGAGGATCTAGCATTGTGATCCAGTCTGGGTTACACAATGAGACCCTCTCTCAAAAGACAAAAAAACATCCAAACAAAAATCCAAACAACCAGTAAAATAAAAAAGGTCAAAGAAGTTGAACTGACATTTCTTCAAAGGAGATATCTGATTGATCAACGAGCACATGAAAAGAGGCTGAATATCACGAATCATCAGGGAAATGCAAGTCAATACTGCAATAAGACATCGCCTCATGCCTGTCAGCGTGACTGCTATCAAAGAAACGAACCGGTAACAAATGCAGTAAGGGACAGAGAAATCGCACCTTGTGCACTGTTGGTGGGAATGCAAAGTGGCGTGGCCTCTGCGGAAAGCAGTAACGGCAATTCCTCACAGAACAAACGCTGAATTCCACATGCCCAAACAGGACCTTTTTGGGGGTATACACACCAAAGCATTAAAAGCAAGATCTTTTTTGTCCTTTTTCCAAAAATGTGTTTTTATCTTTAACTGACTGGTAATAATTTTATTTATTTATGGAATATAATGTCATGTTTTGATATATGTATACATTGTAGAATGATTTAAAAAGCTAATTACCATCTCTATCACTTCAACTACTCAACTTACTGTTATTGACGGCACTGGGGTTTGAACTCAGGGCCTCACGCTTGCTAGGCAGGCGTTCTACCACTTGAACCTCTGGCCCCGATTACCCAATTTTTTTGTTATGGTGGGAATGGTTGAATGTTGGGTGTGGCCCAGGTAGTAGAGTGCCTGCCTGGCAAACATGAGGTCCTGAGTTCAAACCCCAGTTCTGTCAATAATAACAATAATAAAATAAAGAAGAGTCAAATTCTAATTGTGGAAACTCATTCCTCCTGTTTACCTGAAACTTTGTGCCCTCTGGCCAACATCTCCCCTTTCTCCGT